AAAAAGTTTTCATTAAGTTTAATAAAGATAAGAGCAAGGTCTCACCTTAAATATTAAAAAAAAAAAAAAAAAAAAAAGGAAATAAATTAGTTAAATAAGTGACGCATAAATTAGTGTAATAGGGTTTATAGAAAATAGCGTGATTAGTAATAAATTAATTAAAAGTCAAATGTGCATGATCAAACAGTATAATTAAATTAGAGAAAGCACATATATAAGTAAAAGTGAAAAAAAATAAAATTTAAGGTGTGCTTTTCTCTCTGTAAGTAATATACTCAGAACACATTGTTTGAAATACTTACCTTATTCGAATCTTTAGTGGTCGACATAGTTCAGCATGCTCATCGTTTGAGTTGAAAACCTCTACAACAATAAGGATTTTTAAAATTATCATTTTCACGGAATTGGTGTGGGAAAAGAATAACCGTTTTAGATGCTTGTACTGCATGTATATATATAAAATCAAATTAGTAAGCATTCCAAGATTATTGTTGTTGCTTCTATGAAATTGGTGTGGGAAAAGATTAACGAATTTAGATTTCTTGCATATATAGAATAGATTAGTAAGCATTTCCATGGAATTGGAGTGAGAAAAAAATAATGGTTTGATTTTTTGCTTATACGTACATACATACATAGAATTGATTGATAGTGCTTCTGTGGTTCTGGTTTGGGAAAAAAACGATGGATGGTTTTAGATTTATTGCGCTATCGTACATATATAAAATCATATTAGCAAGCATTTCAAAATTTTTAATGCCCAAATTTTACCGTTAAATACTTGCTAGGTTGTCCATAAAAAGTGAATTGTATCTGTTGAAAATCACAAGTATAATAACGATCACTGAATCTACCATTAACATAAAACAAAATTGCATATCGTAGGTACTATTATATAGTTGTTGTTATGATTTATAGTGTTTATTGCGAATAAGTAATTAACTATTATTTTATTCTGTAGAATAAAAATTATTGTAGTTCGCTGGACCTTGTAAGTATATTATAAAACACTCTATAAAAATCTGGCTAAATTTATTATAACACTCAAAGAATATGTAATTAATCAAGGACCAACAAAGTCATACCACAGATTTGAATTACAAGCGGATAAATGATGAATGATGAATATTTAGATAATATGGTGTTAGAGCCTGAGGATAGTGATCTGTATGAGCCTGAGAATATTGATCCGAATGAGCCTAAGGATATTAATTTGTATAAGCCTGAGAATTCTGATTAGGATAAGCCTGAAAATTCTGATTTGGATGAGCCTGAAGGTATTGATTTGGATAGGCCAAAATCTAATAATGCGGATAGTAATAATAATAATGAAAATTTATCTAAGTTCTCTACATTATCACAAACTGGTGGTCAATTGTTAGAAAAAAACGAAAAAAAATTGAAAAGCCGGGCGGTAGTCTTGTTAAAGAATTTTATGTGTCAAAAACAATTAATGATTTAGATTATTGGGTTTGTCGCCATAAAATTTGTATTTTATGGACAAAATATTTAATAGATGGTTCTACTTTGAATTTATAGCGACATTTGAGAAATAAGCATCATATTTTACGAGCTATGGTGGAAGGTGGTCGAGTAAAGATTGTGGTAAAGAGTAATGATAGTTGTGAATTTTCTGTAATGCCTGAATCTGTGCAATCAACGATAGTACAGTCATTTAACAAAGTGAAAAAATATGCATTGAATAACTCCAAACAAAAAAATCTTGATAATAATGTAGCTGCTTTTATTATTGAAGAGCTTCAACCATTTTTGATTATTCAATTACAAGCTTTTAAAAGAATAATTAAAGGACTTGATACCCAGGCTAATGTACTAAGTAATAATCGGTTAAAAGAAATTCTTATTAATTCTGAAGATAAAATTTTACAAAACATTCGTGAATATGCACTTGATAGTGCTGAAATTAGTTATGTTTTTTTTACCACTGATATGTGGACGTCAAACAATGGTGATCCGTATATTGGACTTACCCTTCATTGGATCAATGATAGTTTTCAAGTAAAAGAAATTACTGGTAATATTTCGTATCTCCCATATCCCTATACCGCTAAATATCTTTTATATAAAATTGTAGAAATTTTAGATAATCAACTTAAACATATAACTGTTAGTGGTACAATTGATAATGGGTCAAATATTAAGTTATGTTTAGAAAAGTTAGAACAAAAATATAGCATTTTTCGAATTAATTGCTTTGGACATACCTTACAACTTGCAATTAATGATGCATTAAAAGGGTGGGGTGTTCTGAAATTGTCAACTTAATAAAAAGATGTAAGGATGTTGTATTACATTTTAGTGGAAGTCCAAAGCAAAGGCAGTTTCTTTTAGAAGTGCAAATGAAAATAGAAGACTGGAATAGCTTTCTTTTTGTAGTTCATGACGTCTCGACGAGATGGAATTCAACGGTTTATTTATTAAAATAACTAACAATTCTTAAACTAGCAATATATAGATACAAATCATTTTTAGTTGAAATTAATGATAATAGTTCATTGAGAAGTTATGAGGAAAAAGAGTTATCATCAGATGAATGGGAAAAAATAAATGAGTTAATTAAATTACTGTATCCGTACAAGGTCATTTCAAAAAAATTGTCTGGTTACAGTATTCAACACTTTCACAAGTATGGTTTGCTATTAATTTTATTAAAATAAAGCTTGATTGTGCAATAGTAAGTAATGCTAATATTCAGAGATTTAGAGATCGTCTTTGTGAACCACTTCAGGAATGATTTTTGGAATCAACAAAACCAATTCAGCTTGCTGCTTTTTTTGACCCATGAACTAAAGATATGCAAATATTTACAGAAAATGAGAAAAATCAAACTATTTCAGAAGCACATATAGAATATCTTGAGTTAGCTACAAATTACTATAAAACAGACAATTTATCAGATTCAGCATCTCATAATATAATATAAAAAATAGATTATTACTTGCCTTTACGCTATAATAGAGCCATGTATTACTAATGATTTTTTTCAACAAAAAAAGTCTTGTTTTCAAAAAGAGCTTTTTCAACTGCTTTTTTGTTTTTAGTATTAAGATGCACATAATTTATAAATTTACTTAAATGTTTAATTGTTTGTAAGAACATTATCATTACTATGTTTGAAAAACGATTTAAGCTATTCAGTATTTATATTTTTTTATCATCATTATACAAGTGCCAATAATTTGATATAAACTTAAATTGTTCAAGTTTCTAAAATTTAAATAATTTTAATTCTTATTAATTAAAAAAAGCTACGATACTTTGTGAAATAAAATTACTCATAACATTGCAACAATTAAATTACTTTATATGATGCTCAATATATGTTTCCAAATTGAAAGCAACAATTTTATAAAAAATAATTTTATTAAATATTTCAATATTAAAATTAAAATTAAATATTATATTGAAATAAAAACCCAAATATATATATATATATTAGTTATTTGTGTTGTAAGAATTCAGATAATTTTATAAAACTGTTGGTAATACCAGTAACTTAAATTATGTCAGAACAGGTATTTTTCAAAATATCGATATTTATACAAGCACAGAGCGTAATGATGCAAATTAAAGCCAAAATTTAAAATTACATCTGCGTTAGTTCATGCTTATACGTAGACCAATTATTAAATTCAACAAATTATTTATTTATAGAAGAATTATAATCAATCTCAAAAATTTCAACAGAGAGTAAAAAATCTTGGAAACAGATTTTCAAATATGGGTCTTTTAGAAATTTATTTGAAGATTGCAAAAAAATAATCCTGAATTCCTTATTGAAGCCAAGTATAAAATTGCATTTCACCATAAAACTCATAGGAAATACCAAGATGCACTGAATATTGCCAAAGAAATTCCTGATGACTACAAAAATATAAAGATGCTTATAGCTTATTGCTGCAAGAAAATTGATGATGAAGAAAGTGCTTTTAAACTCTATAAAGAAATTGCAAATAAAAATATATCATCACAATCAGATGTAATAAAAAAGAAAGTCAAGAAAAAAAAGAAACCCAGTTTTTTTTTGGTTATACATAGTAAACAAATATATAATTGCTATACTTTTTTAACTATCAAAATTTTTCAATAATTAAAAGGATATATGTGCCGGTGCATATATAAGTGTCAACTTGTATTGTGCCTGTGCCTATACATGCTGGCAAAATCCCAAATTAATATTGTTTGAATTTGTCCATGCCCAAATCTCAAATTCAGCTCAAATTAATTTCTCAAAAACTTTATTAATAATCTTTGTTTAAGCAAAAGATAGATATTCTTATTATTATAGATAATATATTTGCAAAATATTAAGACACTTTTTTGATTTAATCTTTTACAAATAGCAATTGTTTT